TCCTCAGCCTCCGCAAATAAAACCATATCATCCGCGAAGAAAAGGTGGGAAATACTAGGGCCATTTTTAGATGCCTTAACACCTTTCCACTGGCATTGGGCGACCACTTCGGTAATGATATAGTCCCAGTTCATAAATTATTATCTTATACAAATTTTTTCTTTTAACTATTTTGAAAGTAGCAGTTTTAATCTATTATTTAATTTATGTTGAATTGCAAGTTCGTTGGTAGGTCTTAGCTCGCGAAGAACAGCAAAAGAACAATAAAAAGGAATAGAGAATAGAAGAGGAAGAAGTGTAATTCTATTATTTCAGTAACCTTCTTCTACAAGAGATTACAACATATATATGTTACAAATGTAATCCTTACATAAATGTAAAACTGTTTCGACCGTTACAATAAACCATAATAATGTCCATTAAGATTTGATTTATAACAATTTATAGATTTTCTTAATATTAACAATTTATTTTGAATTCCCAAATTATTAAAAAAAATATTGCTCATTTCATAAAATTTTCTCAAATTATCTCAATTAATCTTCATATATACGTTACTCTTACTGCAAAATACCATCCTAAGTTGTACAAAATAAAATAATGGTTTAAGTTACATTTGTTTAATAGACACCAAAACAACAAAAAATATCCATGTTTTGCACAAGATACAACCTAATTTGTAAATGATCTAATAAGCACCAAAACAACAAAAATGATGACCTGAGTTACATGGTTTAGCAGACAAAAAACAAGTTTTATCTAAATACATAACACATGTGATGGAAAATATATTTAAGGCAATCCGTCGAGCATGTGCTCGGTATATACTCCAGGGGTGCGGAGAATAGTTCCCGATCGCTCCCGGCCTGATAAGAGGCCCGACCCGACCTAAGGAGATATATGAATTTGCCACTGAATGTCAACTCGGTCCTGACCTTGTGACTCAGTCCGGACATTCCGAGCAGGAACACTTCCTATTCTAGAAGATAGGCATGTCGAGAATCGAACGCACCAGTACATGTAGAATATGTGGCGGACATACCGGACGCTCGACATGTGTTCCCCTCGATTCCCCTATAAATAGAACATTTATTGCAATGGAAATGGGATTTTTTGGAGCATTCTCTCTCTAAGAACACTTATAGGCTCGGGACTCTCCGACCCCCAGTCTTAAACTACCCGAGTTACTATATTATAGTTTCTAGTCGTATACGTATACTCGAGAGTATTTACCACATTAACATGCTTTTAATTATTTTGCTTTTTAAATTTAGAATTAATGTTGCTGTTTTTTTGTTAATCTCCTTTTGTTGAGGTAGTTGACTAATAACAAATGTTGGAGGTTGCACTGAATCTTTTAAGTGTATTGGTTACTAATTGGTGGAGGCTAGATAGTTATATGTTTTTTTTTCATTATTTGTTTCATCTAAAGATCAATAAAGATAATTATCTCATCCATTATATATGAAACTCTTATTCAACGTTTATACTCTGTTTGACAAGATTTAAAATCCTTTCACTAAAAATTACTCAACATCAATCAATTGCTCATATATTCATGCCCTCTTTGACTCTCAAATACTTCAATATTTATATCCATAAATATTTGTTATCACATTTTTCGTTATTTGTTATTAGACTAGAAAATATGTAGAAAATAACATGCCCTCCGTGAGTGCGTGTTTTCTCTTCTCCACGAAAACAAGAACACGCCCTCATGGAAGGCGTGTTCTTGTTCCCATCTAGCTTCCACACCATTCCTTCTCTTAGACCCCATTCAAATACTAGCTTGCATTGGAGAAATCATACTATAATTAGCTTCTTCTTTCTTTTTTTTTTTTTTTCTTTTTTTTTTTCTTTTCTGATGATGATAAAATTGATCTAAATCTTAACATATATTTTTGTTTATGGCATATAATTTAGTAATCTAATCAAATATTAACTAATTTTTATACAATTTCATGTGTGTCTGTGATATTATGCGTCTTAATTTTGGTATGTTTGACTCTGTTTATATTTGATGTTGTTTGTTTGAACTTCTTTGCTTGCCCTGACACTATTTCATCTCTCCATATCTCTATCTTGCTTATTAATCTTAGCACTTTCATGCCAACAAAATATCACTATTTTGCTTCATTTATGTTGGTTGAGTTGTAAATACTTTATGTGAAATGCATAAAAAATATTAGTAGTGTGTCCATAACTTATTGGTGAGAAAGCTAAAAGGGATTGCTTAAATGTAACACGAGGTAATTAAAATTGACCTCTTAACTATTCGAATGATGTTTACAGTCTACAACACAAGGCCACAACCTATGCCATGCAGGCATGCATGACCACTAATTTACTGGATTTCATAATAACATGATTATGAGTTGAATCCACAAAAGTTTGTGTTGAGGGTACTTTTTAGTTGTAGTGAAAGATATTTTTTTTTTTTTTTTTTGCATGATGATTGAAGATTTGAAGGTGGCCAATTAGAGGATTGAAACATGTGTTCCATCTCAACTAAAAGCCTTCACGGTGGACCGGTAAACCGTTGTCGCTCACGTTAATGGCTATATGCTCACACGCGGTGGACCGGTAAACCGTTGTCGCTCACGTTAATGGCTATATGCTCACACGCGGTGGACCGGTAAACCGTTGTCGCTTACGAGTGGCGTTGAGATTTGAACCCATGACCTTTGGTCTGGCTCTGATACCAAATTGAAACATGTGCTCCATCTCAACTAAAAGCCTAAGCTGATAGTTTGATTGCACGTTAATGGCTATATGCTCACATAGAGGGAATGCAATCTAACAATTCAAAAAAGTTTAGTTGTTTATTTGATAGTGTCTATGCTTTTGTTGTTAGTTGATATGCACTTTATTTTCAGACATTTTGTGATCAGAGAGAAGATGGACTTTGCATGTCCCGCCCCCTATATAAGTAGAGAGTATGTTTCAATTTTAACGGCCGCTAAAGAATGGGTCTTAGAGGCTTGCCCCGGCTCAACCTGCGAGCTAGGCGGGGCGGACTAACCTGCCCCTATGGATAGGTGCAATGGATAGTGCAATATAATAAAGCCCCTATGTAAAAAAAGCATCATTTAAATCTCCTAAATCGGTTAAAATATTCAATTAAATCCAAAATTCTCGGTTTGGCAGGTTGGTGCTTTAAAATGTTGACACGTATCTTCTTCTTCTTATTATTATTATTATTATTATTATTATTATTATTATTATTATTATTATTATTATTATTATTATTATTATTATTATTATTGTTATTGTTATTGTTATTGTTATTGTTATTGTTATTGTTATTGTTATTGTTATTGTTATTGTTATTGTTATTGTTATTGTTATTGTTATTGTTATTGTTATTGTTATTGTTATTGTTATTATTATTATTGTTATTATTATTATTATTATTATTACTACAACCACCAGACACTCATTATTTATTCAGCATCATCATCCGAGGAAAAAGAAAACAAAACATGCAGTAACACAACATAATTCTGACATAAACCAAAGGAGATGATTAGATTCAACCAGACATCTGAATGGCTTTCATCTTAGGCTTCTTAACTTCCTCATTAGGGATAGTAACCGTAAGCACATCGTTCCCCATCGTCGCCTTAATTGAATCTATCTTAGCATTATTTTCCGGCAACTGGAACCGCCGCTGCTCCTCTCCACCCGTTGCCACGTGTCCATCTTCTCCTCATGTTCCTTGCTTCTCTGCTCCCTGGTCTACAACACCCTGCCTTCCTCCACCTCCACATCCTTCTTCTTCAGCCTCGGCATGTCTGCCTTAAAATATGGGCCTACGACGTCTCATTCCAATCAATCTGGACAGTAGCGAAGGCGGAGGTTTCGCACGCCGCGCGGCTAGAGAAGCTGTCAACGGCGTTTGAGAAGCCCTAGAATAGACCCTGGCTGCCGGAAAACCACGACCGTCATTTTAAAATGTCGTGGCTATTGCCGGGTTGTACTTGAATGAGGACAACTATGACGGTCTAGGGAGACAACCATGAATGTCTAAAAAAAATTCAAAAAATTTGATTTGTTTTAGATGGCCATAGCCGTATTTTAGGACAACTGTGGCTACCGAATAGTCGTGACTATTATTTTTTACAGTTGTGGCTGTCGTCGGACAACCACGACTATTCTTGAATGAGGACAGTCACCGACTGTAGAGGTGGCTATATGAAAAAAAAAAAAAAAAAAGAGTAAAAAAAAAAAGAAAGGCAAAAAGTGAAAAAATATTAAAAATAAAAACTAATTAAAGGAGACACGTGTTAGCATTAGAAAACACCAACCTATCAAACATGTAATTTAGACTTAATTGAACATTTAGAGGATTTAAATAGAGTTTTTTTTTTTTTTTTTTTTCTCATTTAAGGGACTCAATTGCACTATCCGTTTGACTTAGGTGGCTAGTTTGACCCTTTTTCCAAAAATAAATAAGGAAAGCTTGTTCACAAGTTCAATTGAGTTAATATCCAAAATGGTCATCGACTATGGTGGTTGTTCTCAATTTCGTCCTAAATGACTTTGGTGAACTAATGTAGTCCCAGACTTTTGTGTTTTTGTTCAATTTAGTCATTTGTTTGTTATTCTGTTAAATTGGTGTTAAATAAATGGACACTTTAGTAATCTCAATATTGGTCTTTCTTTACTCTCAATCCTATAAAGTGCGAATTTATCTTTCTTTTACGAATTACTCCCAGAATTATTTTCTTTTACTATTACTCCCAAAATCAAATTTTATATTCACATGTTTGAGAGTTATTCATAAAAGAAAGAAAATTTTTGCACTTCGTAGGTCTAAAGATGCCAGTATTGAAATTGTTAAATTATTCATTTATTTAACACTAAATAAATAAAATAACAAACAAAGAACTAATTGAGCAAAAATACAAAACTCTAAAACTACATTAATTAACTAAAATCGTTCTAAACGGAATTGAAAAACAAAACATTATAGTCACCATTTTGGGTTTAACTCATTTCAATTTTTCCAAACATTGTCAAAAATCCCCCAATTTAAAAATTGAACACTATCCCTATCCCTTTTCCAGTCGACGTGTCTTCCTCCCTCACGAGTCATGATGAGTCACGACTGTCGACAGACGGCGACTCACACCTCAACTTCCCCGCCGGCAAGCCGCTCCGCCGTGAGCCGTTGACGCCGCCTCTCTCTTCGCAAATCGCCGACGCCCCTCTTGACGACAGTCGCCAGTACGCCTCTGTCGCTCTGTCTCTTCAATCTGCCCACTGTCGACCGTCTGTCTCGCTGCTCGCTTCACTCCGCCGACGGTGCCCTCCTATTGTCGACAGATTGTAAGTCATTAGTTCACTGTGATTTTTTATATATATACTGTTCACCTATTTGTATATACATATGTAATGTTCCTGCTTTCTTTCAAGGATAAATAAGACTGACTCTAGTACCTTAGCAAGAAATGGGGGAAAAACAGATAGAAATGGAAGAAAATCCAGAAGAAATGGGGGAAATTTTAGAAGAAATGATGAGAAAACAAGACATCAAATTCATTCAACATAATTGTCTGAATGCACTCGTTGGAATATAAATTAAAATAACGACAAAACGAATTTAAGAAACTCCTACACGTGCAGATCATCCTCTAGCACAACAGCAGCTCTTCTAGATTTAATCTCACAGACTCCATCTTCAGGAATAAAACGATGATTCCATTAGCAACTGTCACATCTAACTCAGCCCCTTGTAATTGCTCTACCCTTTTATATTGAACCAATTGGGGATTGATGAAACTATGGGTGCTTCCACTATCTACCAAGATGACAAATCTTCTTTTTCCCAACATTCCTTGCAACTTAACAGTGTTCCTGCCACTATCACTAAGGATTGCATTGAGAGACACTTCAACATTTCCTATTGGAGTGTCTTTCGCTACTGGTTGCCCCATTTCCCTTTCTTCATGCTCTTCCAATTCGTTCACTGAGTCTGAGACTCCAGTTATACAATTAAAACTCTTTCTCTACATTTGTGGCAAGGTTGCCATCTTTCTCTACGATGGAAGCATAAACCCCGTTCCCGGAGTCTGTTCATCTCCATATTTGTAAGATTTACTCCTCTATTGTTATTATTATTGTTATTATTATTGTTGTTGTTATTGTTATTGTTATTGTTATTGTTATTGTTATTATTATTATTATTATTATTATTATTATTATTATGGAAAAGGGTCAAATAGGCCCCTGAACATTACCCAAGAAGTCAATTAGGCCCTTAAACTTTCAAAATGTTGCAATTAAGCCCTTAAACATATCATTTTAGAGCATTGAGATCCAAAAACCGGTTGTTGACCTATAATTACAGGTCACTAGGGTTCCAGCGAAACTCCGACATCTCAAACCCTTCTAAATTATTTGATTCATTGTCAATAAAGCATCATATTCAGTATCTTCCAACAAAATAGGGCATAGACTTGTTTTTGAATGTGCATGCCAATATCTTCCCAGAAGAAAGCAGAGTTTCCTGATGTGCATCGCCCCTAAAACTATAAGAATTGCGGCAATTGCCCAGTGGCTGCCCCTCTTCAACCCCTTCCTCCTCCCTTCCCCAGGTTCTACCACTCTCTCTATAATACTTACAAATTTCTATTTTATTTTGTTGTCTCTTTGTAATTAACTTGAAAAAATAGCGTCATGGATATATGCTTATTTCTTTGCACTCAAGATTCTTGTATATGTATATGTGGGTTTTAGGGGTGATTAGGAAGTTTGGGTTTGTGAGATTGGGGCAGCGCAAGAGGAGCTTTATTGGGGTTAGTGTGAAAACCAAGCTGGAGTTGAGAATGGAGATTGATAGGATGGGAGTGGTGCAACCAGCAACAGAGGATTATGCTGAAGATGCAATTAAAGCTATCAAGTCTGGGAATGTTATTGCTGTCCCCACTGACACGCTCTATGGCTTTGCTTGTGACGCTTGGTAAATGCCACTCCCTCCCCCTTCCTAAGTTGACCTATTTATTTTACTTCATTTTGTATGTTATAGCCCGTTAATACAAAATTTGCTTTTGATGTTGTCTTCTTTATTTGGGAACTTTTTACCTCCATTGATGTTGTTTATGTGTGCATTGTGATTTCTATTTTGGAATGCTCAGTAAGTTAGCTTCAGCTCTTATGTATTCACATTTTTTCATTTTTGATGTTTGATGTTAAGTACAAGAAGGAAAGTGGGCATTTACTGCAATAGTATGGTTAGAGCATTCAATGATATAGGTATACCCTTAAAATTTTATAAAGAGTGAAAGTTGAATAAGTTCTTTTGCTATTGTTTCTCTTAAGTTGGGTATTGAATTCAGAAACTTCTTTGGATTGGGATTTCTAGTTCCCATTATGGGATCTTCAGTGTCTAGTCTATAACTGTTTTGTTGGCACTTGAAGTAGAAGCAGTTCTTTGATGAATTTAGGCCTTAGTGATTTCAAACTATCATTTTTGTTTTGGATAACTGAAATTAAGTAATTGAATGATTACACTTTTTAATTACAATAATGATAGCTTACATGTGTAGGATAATGATGGATGTGCAGTAAGAATTTACTGTTTATATTAGGGACATAAAAGTGAGGGGAGAGAGCTACCAAGATTTTTTTTTCCTATGAGTTTATTTGTACTTTCGAAATTATTATTATTATTTTAAAATAATAGTTAGCATGTCTGATGATTAGGATAAGTTTAATTTGGATTGACCCAGTGACATGTCTAAATGCTCGGAACTTGTCACCTATGTTTAACAGAGTTAAAGAATTCTGTTAAAATCTGGCTGATTTGACCAGATATTGAAAAGTTTTTGCCTAATTGACAGAATTTGCAAACCTTAAGGGCTAATTTGATCTTTTAGCAATTAAATAATGCAAGAAACCAACTTTGAGGGCACATTAATTTATTTCTTACTACATAGTGCTGCATAAATTATATATTGCTTTTCTTCAGCAAGTTTGTAATATATTTCATGATGCATTTTCATATTGTATGCTATTGCAGTTCTGCTGAGGCAGTTAATCGTATATATGATATCAAAGGCCGTAAATATACAAATCCCCTGGCAATTTGTGTTGGGGATGTTCAAGACATACAAAAATATGCCATCAGTGATCATTTACCTCATGGCTTGCTTGATTGTCTCCTTCCTGGTCCTGTAACTGTCGTGCTAAGACGAGGTTTGTAGCTCCTCATGTTGTTTAGTTCAGTAATTCTAGCAGAAGGTACTTTACTTGTACCCAAATTTTAACTTTCTCAATATTTTGTAGGTGAGTCAAGTATCCTTGAGAAGTCTTTAAACCCTGGACTTGAGAGCATAGGGGTTCGAGTGCCCGATAATACATTTATTAGGGTTATTGCCCGTTGTTCTGGAAGTGCACTTGCACTTACCAGTGCAAACCTAAGCGGACAGCCCAGTAGCATCAACATTAGAGATTTTGAGAACCTATGGGGCCACTGTGCTTACATCTATGATGGTGGTGTACTTCCAGCTGGGCGTGCAGGATCAACAGTGGTGGATCTCACTAAGCAAGGAAAGTACAAGATCTTAAGACCTGGGAGGTATGCATGCAATTTGTGATTATTGTTATTATTATTTTTAAAGTTCAGGTTTGATTGAATGTAGGTTTAGAGTAATTAACTTATCAATTCACAATATAGAAGACTTGTGCAGTAATGAATTCACCATTTTCTTCCCAGTAAGATGATTGCATATTTGCATGCATTTTCTATATTAGGCCCTCGAACTTACAAATATATTCTTGCTTTACACTTCTCTTCACTTTAGTTTGAACCCCAAACCTAACGGCCCCTCAGGTCCCCTGCCCTAGGGAGCTTGTGTGAGGAGATAAATCGCGGGATGTGCCTCAGTGACGCAATGGTCTGAGTGCTTGCTTATTTCCCAGGATCTTACTCCTTGCAGGGTTCAAACCCGGGAATTTGCTGGCCACCACACTCAGGCTTTCATCACTGATCTATGGCCCGGGGCATTACACTTCTCTTCACTGTGTTGCTTACAGAATGCATGGCCTATACGGCTATACATAAAAAGTCTGTAAGTTTTATAAACAAAGTGCATAATGCTGACGAGTTTCTACTGTTGTGTCAGTGCGGAGGAAGAGACCGTTGCAATCCTCCAAAAACACTCTTTGGTAGAAGATGGAAGTGGTGTGCGGTGAGATTTTTCATGTTTGATTGAGATGCATAAAGGGCCCGAGACAAGATTCATCTGTGCAAAACCAAGATTTAGGATGGTGGATGACAGCATGGGTGAATTTGACAATGTTGCTGATCATCTACTTTCTTGTACACTCATTCCTGTGAAATCATTCTTTTTTGGTACGTCTAATATAAGGGAAGGGAAGGATTTGAACTGAAGTTTATTGCATGAAAAATGGGTAGTAAATTGTCGATATTATTGGAGATCATTCTTAAGCACATACAAGTATAGAACCATGATTTTTTAAGGGAAGGGAAGGATTTGAACTGAAGTTTTTTTTTTTTTTTTTTTTTTTTTTTTTTTTTTTTTTTTTTTTTTTAACTTCGTTTCCTTCTCAATTATGTTATGGACCTTATAAATCTGTAGTCTAGGTGTATGAGGAGCCCATAAAGAGGTAAATTAAAATAAATTATACACATTTGCACACCAAGATTTCAACCCAAATTTCTAATATTTGTGCTAAGAACCGAACTCTTTCCTTACTATTGGAAACAAGTCTAAGTGAGACTATTAATTCACTAGACCAACATTCTTGGAGTTTTGAGGAATATTATACGTTCTTGTTTTGGCTCAAGGAGATGTGAGGTCTCTTTATTGCATGAACAATGTATAAAAATAGAGGAAAAAAATCCACATAGAAAAGAGAGAGCTCCATGTGTTGATATGGCAAGAAACAGAGAGTTGTTGCAGAGTGTTGCATGATATTAATACTATTGACTCTAAGTATTGCAGTTTAAAGAGTCAATATCGCACCACCGGAATTCAATCCTGTAACCTTCCATTAAGGGGAGCCACAAAGATGCTATCTGAGCACAAGGTGCCTGACAACAACTTCATTATATTAAAAATAGGGATAAGGGTCAAGCATATCTTTCAACTATTATATATTAACAGGGCTTTTGGTTGGAGGGAGGGAATTACGTGAGAAAGGAATTGCAATTCCTTGGGAGATGAATTACTCGGAATAAAGTGAGAATTTAAATTCTAGTGTTTGGTTTACAGGAATAAAATTATTGAGAATTTCAATTCCAATGTTTGGTATACATAGGAATAGAAAAAGAATAAGTAGTATAAAGTCCAAAATGTCCATTGTTGTTGTCTGACATCAATTTTAGGTTAAAAAGGAGAAGGGATAATTTTGTCTCATCATTATCTATTTTTCTTCCTAAAATTCATGGAATTAAAATCCCAAGGGGGGCATGGGATTTTAATTCCATGAAAATGAGGGAATTGCAATTCCGTGGAATTGCATTTCCTTCCAACCAAACTATGGAATTTAGTGGAAATGTAATTTAAATTCCCAAAAAAAATCTGTAATTAGATAAACTTGTTAAAATTGCGCAAGTACCCTATTTGCCTTGTAATAACATGTTACACCTAAGTTACTTTCTATGTAAGATGTCAAATAGATTAATATTTTTTTAAAATTTATTTATATATTTATTTTAAAAAAGTTAAATACTTATATTAATTAAAAAAAGGCCACCAACAACAATTTTTTATACAATCATTATTGCATGGACCATGGTCCACACAATTGTGTGGACCATAAATAAAAAGTACATTTTTAATATTATGTACATAAGGTACATTTTCTGAAAGTACATTTTTAATATACTAAGGGTACATTATTTTATATAATGTACCTTCCGTACAAAAATAATATACTTTTAATATATTAAAAATGTACTTGATATTTATGGTCCACACAATAATTTGCCTTTTTCATAGCAGCCAAGCTACTATATATGGACAAAGAAGCTTGGCGGGCTTCTTTGTCAAATCGGACAAAGAAGCCATTGGATTAAGAAGTCGGTGGGCTTCTTCGTCCGATTTGAACGGAGCAGCCATGTAGATCAATTTGGATCATTAGATGAGCTCAGATCAACGACAGCTAAAAATCAATGAAAATGAGAAAAAATATGGTAATAGTTTGGCAATTTCTTTCACCAAGTTTAATTTTGTGGTGCAATAAGTACTGGTATGTGGTCACTGAAGATTGGTCTGTGGTGCACATAGAAATACTTGACGGTGAATTTAGACTCAAAACACTATCAAACTAGCATATCTAAATGCACTATCTATTACAAAAATAATAATAATAATAATAATAATAATAATAATAATAATAATAAAATACAAAATTACTACCGTATTTTTTCAATTTTTATTTATTGATTTGAACTCCTCTAATGATCAAATTGATCCAAATGACCGCACCTAAGACTCCTACACCACTACAACCATCCCCTATATATACATACTTATGGGGAATTCTATTTGCACCACCTTAATTTCTATTTAAACCACCATTTGATAGGAATGATAACTTTATAGGTGTTGTAAATAGAAAATTGCTATTTACACTACTGATAAGATATATACCCCGATATCGACCACCTGTATATTCGTGAACTCGTTTATGAGCGGGTCAGAATCAAGCGGTTCGGGATCCGATCCACGGGCCAAAATAAGAGGTGGCGGGTTTGGTATTAAAAGGGCTTGGAGCCCTCAAAGTGGGGGAGGCCATTTATTCACTCTCTCGGCTCTCTCTCTAAACTATATGATCCTCTTCCTTCTCTCTAAATTCTCTCTGCATATAAGAGAAACACAAAACATCAATAAAAGGGGAATTGAGCTATTTCTTATTTTCTTGCTTCTTGTTCATACATTGATATACACATATATACATCTAGTACATACAACCGACATCCGGGGGTTAGTACTATCAACTACTTTTATTAAATTTGGTCAAACATTATATTTTTAAAAAATATTTATTATTTATTTTTATTTAAAAATCAAAATATTAATTAAAAAAGGAATAAGGTTCAAATTGGCCACTGAACGTAACCTGAAAATGCAATTAAGTCACTGAACGAAAAAAAGTGCAATTAGGCCATTGAACACTCAAAAAATGTGCAATTAGGCCACTGAACTCTCCAAACGTATGCAATTTTACCGGATAACAGATTACCATCAATTTTAGCAGGTTACCTGCTTACGTGGCAGCTTAGTTGGCATTTTTAATAATTTTTAATAATTAATTTTAATAATAAATTTTATAAAAAATTGGAAAAAATTAAATAAAAAATAAAATAAAGTCGTTTTTATTTTTTTAAAAAAATTTTAATAAAAATTTATTATTAAATTTATTAAAAATTAATTAAAATTTATTAAAAATGCCAATTCAGCTGCCGCAAATTATGCCATGGAATCGTGTTCACCGAGAATGGTGAACACAAGGCAAAACGACGTCGTTTTTAGGCAAAAAAAAAAAAAAAAATTCACGGATGTGGAGTTAACGGCACGCGTTTGATCAAATTATGAATTTTCTTTTATGAGATTATGAATTTTATGAAAATTCATAATCTCATAACAGAAAATTCATAATCGCATAACAGAAAATTCATAATCTCACAACTGAAAATTCATAATCTCATAACAGAAAATTCATAATCTTATAACAGAAAATTCATAATCTCATGGTTCCAAAGTGAATGTGTAGGCATGGTTCCAAAGTGAATGTGCAGGCATGGATTCATAATTTATGAATGTCCGTGATTTCGGACGGGAATATGTAGGCATGGTTCCAAAGTGAATGTGCAGGCATGAATTCATAATTTATGAATGTCCGAAATTATGAATGTAATGAAAATTCATAATCTCATAACAGAAAATTCATAATCGCATAACAGAAAATTCATAATCTCACAACTGAAAATTCATAATCTCATAACAGAAAATTCATAATCTTATAACAGAAAATTCATAATCTCATGGTTCCAAAGTGAATGTGTAGGCATGGTTCCAAAGTGAATGTGCAGGCATGGATTCATAATTTATGAATGTCCGTGATTTCGGACGGGAATGTGTAGGCATGGTTCCAAAGTGAATGTGCAGGCATGAATTCATAATTTATGAATGTCCGAAATCTTTGTTCACCTCAAATTAAAGTGAAACCGCAAAATGTGAAAATAAAGAAGAAAAGTCACGCAATTAATTAAGAAAAAAAAAAAAAAAAAAAAGATAACGGTGTACTAACACCGTTGGAACCGTGTTCATCATGAATGGTGAACACGGTTCCATGGCATAACGTCGCATTCAGCTGCCACGTAAGCAGATAACCTGCTAAAATTGAGGGTAACCTGCTATCAGGTGAAATTGCACATTTTTGGAGTGTTCAGTGGTCTAATTGCACTTTTTTTTTTTTTTTTTTCGTTCAGTGGCCTAATTGCACTTTCAGGTACGTTCAGTGGCCAATTTGAACCTTAAAAAAAAATCCTCCCTCGCCTTCTCCCGTGAGAAGGTAGCTCAGTGAGTCGCCTTCTCACCGGAGAAGGCAACCCAGGTAGAAGGCGACCTGGGTCGCCTTTTCCGGTGAAAAGGTGACCCACTGGGCTGCTTTCTCATTGAAGAAGGCGAGTTTTTTTTTCTTTAATAATTAAAATTTTAATTAAAAAAATATTAATACAATATCGTAAATCGTATTTGATCAAGGTGGTGTAAATAGCAATATAAACGCCCTATGACTATTTATACTACCTATAAGATTGTTGACTTTTTATCATTTTTACAATGCCAATGTAATTTATACATACTTTTAACTAGAAGGTGATAAGATAGCAACACCCCACACTTATACAGTTATACACACATGCACGCGCGTTTTCTGTGTTTAATTTTTCGTTTCCGTGTTTGGTGTGAGCTAAATAAGGTTTAATATTTAATAATAGTTGAGGATTGTTTTCAAGAACCAAGAAACCGACCCAAATTAAAATATCTCTTTAATACTGTACGTTGACTATTTTGGAGTAATCGGATGCCTATATATAGGGCTATAGATCGATCTGGTTTCCACTGCTAGCTATACTTTAGTCAGCGCTTTGTGTTAGTTTAAAAAAAATACCACACACGTGTCATCCATCATTAAATAAATTTTCATTATATTTACCACTTGTCTTCTGGGAGGAGATCCGATTAATTAGTCAATCACTTATTTTACTCCGCCACTTGGATTGACTTGCTTCTCTTCTTGATCTACTTGTCTCTCAAATCCATCTATTTTACTCTGCCACTTGGATTGACTTGCTTCCGTTCTTGATCTATTTGTCTCTCAAATCCATCTCACTAGTTCTTGGTCATAGTCATCGTCATGGTAGGTAGGGTATGTAGCTTCATATTGCCACCAGTGAAGGATATGCCATATTTTATTATTTATTAATGAAAGAAAAGAAAGAAATAACAACTACAAAAATATAATATTACAAATCCCATCTAGTTTTGCTTCAAATTGTTAGCGGAGGTCGTATAGGGTCAAGTCTAGCAATTGGTAGTTAAAAGAATTGTTAGGTGGAGGTCAGTTACTATTCAAACTTTTTGTTAAGATTGACCGAAAGGTAACCTTTCGAGTTATCATTCGAATTGTTTTGGCTATTCGAAGCGTGACTTCTCGAATTATTATTCAGACTATTCGAATAAGAGCAGCGATAATCCTAAGTCTAGAATATATAAGAAATAGGGGACTAAAATTCCTAACTTATGGTATCACCAAAATCTAAATACAAATGCTCCAAACAAATGCATAACTATTCCCAAACATGCCGGGAGGATGCGCGGATATATGCAGTGCATTTTTGTAGTAAGTTCGGTGCATTCATGTAGTAGGTGCGGTGCAATTTTGTATTGTAGTCGTGGAGTTGGAGTAGTTGTTGTGCATTCAGGGAGTTCTTACTGTGCATTCCTTCAATTCGCATGAGAAGGCTGGTTTGCATTTGAACAGGACCATATATATTTATATATGTGTGTTTAACACAATTACCCTTGTCAAAAAGTAAATAATTTAAGTGAGCATTCTAAATACATACAAACCAGTTTGGTTGGCGTGAGTATCCGTGTACTCTCATCTCTTAAGAGTCAAGACTTAAGAGAGGTCGAGAGTTCAAAACCTCTATAGTTAGGGTGTACTTAAAACGTACACCTTCTAACTATACTCCTGTAGTTAGGGTCTACTTTAAACTCCTCGTGATTAAAAAAAAAAAAACTAAATACTTACAAATAATTTATGCTTAGTTTGCCATACTGACGTGAGATTGAGATAAAAGAGGAGATTTTGAGAAGCTTACAGCTTTTTTATATACCACCATTTTACAACTTGCAAAACACAAATAAAATAATGAAACATTTTGGTGTGGAACTGAGCTGGAAGGCTTGTAAATAAAGTATCACGTGCCAAGTCCATTTAATTAAAATCCCGAACAACTACTACACAGCTCTATCTTCTTCTATATTCTTAATAGCTTCTTAAGCTATTATTACATAGTCAAAACTGAAACAACTTTAGGATTCTATATAAAACTGCATGGACAGCATGCATGAAACTCATACTCTTCAATCTTAAAATAATATTAAAATATCTAAAACGTGTTTAAAGCAATAAAAAAAGTTTTATGAAATTTTCAAAAGGTGAGGACATTTTAAATATTATTGATTGGGCCATGGGAGCTATGTGGCTGTTAAATTAGTAAGTCTTTACCTAAAAAAAAGAAGAGAAAATGGTCAAATAGACCTTTAATTTTATTCAAAAGTTCAATTAGGCCATAGAATTTTAAAAGTTCAATTAAACACTCGAACTTGTCATTTAAAAAAAAAAAGTGGTAAAGGAGAAAAAAATTATTGGGCTTGAAAGGAGGGTAGCTTAGTGGACTCCCCAACTTTTTATTCTATCATGTTTTTCATATTTATTGGCGGTTCAAAATTCTTTATGTTTCACATTCACTTTATTCATATTCTTTTACAAACGAATCGTCTAAGCAAAATGGCTTTTTCGTATCATCATACACCTTGTGATGGATATTTGATACACGTAATACAAATGACCATTCTTTTTTTTTTTTTTTTTTGGGAGTGAGGGAGGGGTACCCTAAACAGCACACACTAGTGGAAATTATGGAATTTCTGACCACCTGAAAGTAAATCAAGTTGATACCAAAAAGTGGTCAGAAATAGCAACAAAGGTTTTTCCGGATACCAAAAGTGGTCGGAACAAGGCTTTTGACTTAATTTAAGATCACTTTCAGGTGGTCGGAAATTTCATAATTTCCAGTAGTGACAGAAGCTAGTGTATCCTCCTAGAGAGGGTAATTCTAGTTTTACCAACCTCAATCTGACCCAAAACTTCCCACGGAGATTCGTGGAATTCAATCCAATCACAATTCCGACGAGGGGCGACCTTGGCCATATTGATACACGTAATACAAATGACCATCTTTGAGTTTGATCAAGGAATCCCCATTTGAATGATTCAAAATCAATATAAATATTCATATTGAAACTTACAAACTCATCTTTTAGGGCAAATTATTTTGTGAACCCAGGTCCACCTTGTAAGGTGGACCTAGGTCCAAAGATATATAATTTACATTCACAATTTACCTTTTAAAAATTCACAATTTATGATGACCTATTGTATTCATAAATTTTCAAAACTTAGAAACACAATTTATATTCTAGACGTTCACAATTTCATTACTTAATTAGGACCAAGGTCCACTTTATAAGGTGGACCTTAATTCATGGTATAACAACTGATCTTTTAGAAGATAAGCCCACAAGGAGGGGGTGGAACGTTATTGGGAGTAGAAGGAGGGGGAAGCTAGGTCCACAAAAAGGGGGCGGAAAATATTGGGCAGGGAAGGAGGGGGGAAGGTAGTGTTAATTTGAAATATGAGTTAATTAATTTTTTTTTTTCTCTTCCCTGTTGTTAAGGATTTTTGACACAAAGAGTTATTTAGTTCACTTTTTGAGTTGTAATCATAACTTTTGATCGTGTTCGTGAACTACTATAATCAAGTTCTATCTAGAGAATATATTTCAAGTTGAACTAGTTCAACATCTAATTCGTGGTCAATGTAAAAGTTTGAAGAAGAAGGTTGAAGTCATTATAACTTTTGCGGAAACGAAGATATAAAGAAGGCTGCACAGTGTTCCAAGAAGAGGGATGAGAGGTATTTCTCTAAGAGATGAGTTAAACTGAAGAAAATATATGTAGAGAAGTCCATTTGAACTTAATCGAAGACTTGATCGCTCTATCTGGAGATGAATTGATCGAAGCCTCAATTGATCAAGTCGAGATGCCATAGTATTCTTGTTAGTTCAAGAATCAAGGCACTGAGTTCCAAACGTCACAGACTGGATGTCTGTAACACGTCGCTTTTGAGGGGGAGCCTCATGATGCGCTGATTGGATATCATCATTGTCAACTCACCGGAATGCACAGTATAGCTAATTGAATCTGTTAGATTATGATATAGCATGTAATTTTTATTGTTGATCCCTTGTATGGTTGTTGTTGGTGACTAATGTGAGTTGGGCAATCTGCGTTTGGAATGCCCCATAGATATAGGAGAATAACTCTACGAACTGGGTTAACAAACTGTGTGTGTTCAAAGACAGACTCTCGACATGCATTGAAGATTGAAGACTGAAGGCTGAACCAGATATGGAGATTGTTCAAGATATAGCTCAAGAAAGTTAATCTGTTACATATTATTTCGGAAGGAGTATATAAAGCTTTTCTCTCTTCCTTCACAACAGTGAATGCAGTGATTCAAGATTTACACCTCGGAAATTCCAGAGACGGTTGATGGCATATTCAATGAGCTAAACTAAGAAACTTGACACATTAAAATTCCAGTCATGTTGATCTTCATCATTTGATGCATTCGGGCTGATTGATCACATGAAGATAATTTAGGAGAGCTAGAGTTGAGGGGGAGCCTCAACTTGATTGATTGGGAGATCTTTCGCTGATTCTTCAAGAAGTAACTCTGCATTTGTTGACTACAATGTAGTCTTGGAGATTGGAGTTCTTCGCTCACATCATTGTGTTTTGGGTAAAACGTTTAACATTGAAGTTGAATGAAGAATTTGACAACTATTCGTGTGGTGCCCCCCCCCCCCCCCCCCCCTAGACGTAGGAATAGTTTATTCCGAACTGGGTTAACAAATTCCCTAAGTCTTCTTACTACTTTTATTATTAACTGTTGTGTGTTATTTGTGTGAACTTGATTCTGCAACGCTCCCTGAACTAGTTCATAGGCAAAATCTCCAAAAGAAGTTTCTACACAGTTTCTACTCTCTACTTGTTGATTGAATTTGTATTGATCTTATTATATAAGTAATTGGATTAAAGATTAGAGTTACCCTAAAATTACAGCAAGTTCGCATGGAAAGACTGATTTGCACTTGAATGATACCTATGTATATTTATATATATGTGTGTGTATTGTCTAACACATTTACTCTTTTCAAAAGGTAAATAATTTATGTGAGCATTCTAAATATATACAAACTAATTTTACTAGCGTGAATAATATATACTATCATTCCTTAAAAGTTGAGAAAGATCGGGAATTCAAAATCTTTATACTTAGGGTCTACTTATAACAGCTCCTAACTCATATAGTTAATAACTTATGCTTAGTCTGCCATACTGACATGAGGTCGGTTGAGATAAAAGAGGAGACTTTGAGAAGCTTACACCTTTTTTATATACAACCATTTTACAACTTCCAAAACACAAATAAAATAATGAAACATTTCGGTGTGGAACTGAGCTGGAAGGCTTGTAAATAAAGTATCACGTGCCAAGTCATTTAATTAAACCCCCAAACAACTACTACACAGCTCTATCTTCTTCTATATTCTTATCTTAATTAATAAGCTTTAAACATGGTCAAACCTTAACAACTTTTGGATTCTATATAAAGCTGCACCCACAGCATGCATGAAACTCATACTCTTCACTGGCCAGTGAAAGCAAAGTACTTTTTTTTTTTTTGGAAAGTGAAAGCAAAGTGCTAATCATTCCATTCCATTCCATTCTCTCTTGCGAGTCCAAACACAATAAAGATATGGCAACCAACATTGTTTCCTTTCACCTTCTTGTTTTTTGCTTGGTGGTTTTCCAATGCTATGGTGCAAACCAGGGAGCCACCACCTTCATTAAGACCTCATGCAGAGCCACGCGGTACCCACCCTTATGCGCCCAGACCCTCTCTTCTTACGCCAACTCAATCCAACAAAACCCGCACCAGCTCGCCCAAACCGCTCTCTCCGTCAGCCTAGCCAGGGCGGGATCCGCCGCGAAGTTCATCATCGGGCTCACCAAAACTGCCGGGCTGAAGCCCAGGGAGTCGCAGGCTCTCAAGGACTGCGCGGCTAACATGGCCGTCACCGTGGCTCAGCTCAAGCGCTCCATCAAGGAGCTTAGCCAGACGGACAACGTGCCGAAGCGTAGCTTTTCGTGGCGAGTTGGGAACGTGCAGACATGGGTGAGCACTGCTATAACTAATGGGAACAATTGCCTTGATGGGTTTTCTGGATCCGCCATGGATGGGAGCGTGAAGGGTGCCGTTAGTCCCAAAGTGCTTAATGTGGTGCAAGTCACCAGCAATGCTCTCGCCTTGGTTAACAACTTTGCTGCTAGGCATAAGGCTGGTGCAGCCACCATTGTTCCTTGAATGAATTGGTGACCACAAGTTCGATCTTGGTTAGTTTTGGTCGGTTTGCACGAGTTAGGTCGTTGGTTTTTTTCTTTTTGTGGGTGACGAGTTAAACTCGCAGCCATTACTCAAAGTATACTGGATAAATCTTATACTTGTGTAATAACATGTTGTGACTACCAACGTTTGTTTTATGTGTTGTATTGTAGATTGTGCATCAGTTTTTGTGCACAATTGAGTATAGCTCACATCGATCGAGGCTAGTTAAGAATTTCTTCATCCTACATAACACTTGTCCTCGATTATGGTGTTCTACAAATTAATTAAATTGATAGATTGTAAGTGATATGCAAGCTAAGCAAAGTTTTCTCCTTTTTATATATGACTTTATTCAACTTTTAATTTTGTAGATCCACTCTTTTATCTAACTTAAAGTTTCCCTCAATAATTTTAGTTTTAAGAGGCCTTATTTTAATATCATTATTATATGAACATTTTTTTATCAGTATCATCGATTTGAAATGGTAATAGAGATACTAGCAGGCTTTTGGTTTTTTTTTCTCTCTCTAAATTTAATTTTCAATGATTCACAAATCAATATAATTATAAACTTGAATCAGAAGGAGCTATCCCAAGGAGATTTAGAAGAACAATAATTTGTAGTTTTGCACTTTGAATATAATAATAAAATATGAATAGTACATTTATTATATAGTAGTAACTTAACGTACACAGCCAAAAGAATTATATATCATCATCAAAGTAACTGATCAGAGGAATGAAGCTAGCTTTTCAGTGCCTCAGAAAAGCGGCAACAGAGAAGACAAGCGAGGCTACAACAAACGCACCGGAGACCGGTACGGTAACCGCCGCTCCGGCGTCAGGTCCAGGCGCTAGTGCTGGAGCAAATCCGAGGTCCTGAGCCCCGGCGACGGCGGAAAACACAGCGATAACAGCTACAACCAGAAAGGCCTTCATGATGCCAAATTGAGCCGCCATTGCTTCAATTCAATTCGCGATTTCAATCACAAAGTATTGCGAATCGCGCTATGAGTATAGTGAGAATGTGAAGAGCTGAAATTGCAGCGATGATGAGATTTCGTCGGAGAAGGGTTCCTGTATTTATACATACGGGTTTGGATCTTTCTTTGGAATGATTTGGGATTAACCGTTACTCAACGTGACAGAGGATCACGCACCAAATTAGAGCGTGAAAAACTGACGGTGTTTGTAACGGCGCTGTAACGAGCGGGAATGTCGGTCGGACTTCGCTGTCAGGTGCGTTGCACTTCTTTTCTCGTGCGCTGTTCTGAACAAGCCACAAAAGGCACAAATTGTCTCTTTTTACCATATATGCTTATTTTTATTTTTTTTAGCATTTAATTAGTTTCTAATTTTATAATATTTTACCATTTATGCATAATCATAATTTTATGTAGTCATTTTACTCATAATAATAAGTTTCATCCATTTTTAGAAGATTGAGAATAATCCATCATTAGAAAATAATAAATATGGCATATTACATAACAAAATATGAAATTCACTCAACATTTAAATTAATTGATAATTATTTTATGATTTATAGGTTAAAAATATCTAAACTTTTGAAAATTGTGCAAGTTAGATGATCATACTTGATGGCCCATATTACTATATTAGTTTTTTTTTTTTTTTTTTTTTTTTTTTTTTTTTGAAAACCCATATTAGTTAGATGAACTACATATTTGTTATCTCAATGAAGAATATACAATTTTTTTTTTTAATCTACCGTTAACTTCTTATAATCTACAGTAGAGTTGTGGGCTCTCCTCTCTAACTCTCCCGCATTGACCATGGATTTTACCATTATATTGCTTATAAAAGTTCACCTCCACCTTCACATACATAGTTAATAATTTCCATTCCTTGATGAGTTCGTTTGAGACTTTTTCTCAATCCTGTCCAAAAATTAGCCAAAACTATCGTTTAGATAGTAGCTAAGTCGATTTAAGATTTTTATTGTTGAACTCAACTTGACCTAACTCATATTTAATCAAATATTGATAAATGTAATAATTTTAAACTAAAGAAATTTAATGGAATTTATAATAATAAAAAAAAGACTTTATTCAACTTATTCTTCCTCCGGTAAGAACACACCGGCGGCCACCCACCACTTGCATTTAGTATATATCTTATAAGGCTTATAAAATTTAAATAAGAAGAAAATTTTGAAATATTGGGGTTGATGATTGGATTTCAACTATTTATATATATTCGAGAAGGAAAAGTTTAGAAATGTCTTAAAATTTAAAAGTCTAAAAAAGTTAATAACTTTTTGAATACCACATGACTTTTAAAGACTCTTTAAAAGTCTTAAGAATACCACCCGACTTTTAAAGACTCTTTAAAAATTTTGATTGAATACCGCATGACTTTTAAAAACTCTCTAAAATTCTATGAAATTTATGATTGAATACACCCCCTAAGACTCGGATAGTTATGCTGTGGAAACGTGTTCACCATGCACATGGTGAACACATGGGTAGATCCATAATTTCTATACTGTAGATTCATAAATTTTTTTTTTTTTTGAAAATGTAGATTCATAATTTTGTTTTTTTATTTGTTGTTAGCGGGATAAATCCATAATTTCTAAGCTGTATATTCATAATTTCTATATTGTAGATTCATAACATCTATACTGTAGATTCATAATTTATATACTGTAGATTCATAATTTATGTTATAGATTCATAATTTTTATGCTGTAGATTCATAATTTCTATACTGTAAATTTATAATTTCTATACTGTAGTAGATTCATAATTTCTGTATTTTAGATTCATAATATCTATAACAACAAATGAAAAACAAAATTATGAATCCACGTTTTAAAAAAGAAATATATTATAAATTCATAATATAAAAATTATGAATCAATCCCTATATTCACCATGCGCATGGTGAATACGTTTCCACAGCATAATTTACCCTAAATCTCCTACCCCACTAAAACCATCCCCTGTATATACACACATGCACATGCGTTTTTCTGTGTTTAATTTTTCGTTTCCGTGTTTTTGTTTGAGCTAAATAAGGTTTAATAATAGTTGAGGATTGTTTTCAAGAACCAAGAAACCGACCCAAATTAAAATATCTCTTTAATACTGTACGTTGACTATTTTGGAGTAATCGGATGCCTATATATAGGGCTATAGATCGATCTGGTTTCCACTGCTAGCTATACTTTGGTCAGCGCTTTGTTTAAAAACAAATACCACACACGTGTCATCCATCATTAAATAAATTTACTTGTCTTCTGGGAGGAGATCATATTAGTCAATCATTTATTTTACTCTGCCACTTGGATTGACTTGCTTCCGTTCTTGATCTACTTCTCTCCCAAATCCATCTCACTAGTTCTTGGTCATAGTCATCGTCATGGTAGGTAGGGTATGTAGCTTCATATTGCCACCATTGAAGGATATGCCATATTTTATTAGATGAAAGAAAAGAAAGAAATAACAACTAGAAAAATATTACAAATCTCATCTAGTTTTGCTTCAAATGGTTGGGCAGAGAACGATATAGAGTCAAGTTCAGTAAGGGACGGAATTAGTTTGGGAGCAGCTCCTCTCACTGTAAAAAATTATACAACTCCAAAAAATGATGTCGTTTTGAGGCTGTATTATATATAAATTTTTTTTCCCCTTATTTCACATTTTAGATTGCAGATCACAGAGCTTGTTAGTCGTCGCCTTTCTGCTTCTCTCGCCTCTCTTTCATCGAATCGTCGCCTCCCTGGCTCTCTGTCGTCGAATCGTGCGGTTGTGCGATTGACGCACCTTAAGCATTAAAATGATACACCTTAAGCATTAAAATGGCGCACCTTAAGAACACAAACCACACACCTAAGGTTTTAAAATGACTCATCTTAAGTTTCACATAACTGACGCACCTTAAGCATACAAATCACGTACCTTAAGAAGGAAAATAACGCACCTTAAGCAGGAAACCGCATATCTTAAGTTTCAACAACTACTCACATTAAGCACAAAACCCACGCACCTTAAGCACAAAAATCGCGCACCTTAAATTTGACCTATATGCAAAAATTGCCAAATTACCACTGTTTTTTTTTTTTTTTTTTTTAAATTTTGTTAATCCTGGACGTTGATTTAAGCAAGATCAATGACTCAAATTTAACCGCACAACTGCATGAAAACTGAATTATATATATCGCAAGTGCAATATTTTAGTACTAAATGTGCAAATTTGAAAATTTATGAGAAGTCCAGATTTTAGTGTTTAAGTTTGCATAGTAAAGTTTGTTATAATTACGAAAATTTCACCGTATTTTTTTTTAAAAATCTAATCTGGTCCGTCAGATTTTTCCAGATGTAAAGATGAGATTGGTTCTTAATTTTCTTCTAAGGACTTGTTGTCATATATAAAGTGGACTTCTATAGCACTATATCACTCGAGTAAGTCATGATAACTTAGTGATTTCTTAAGTAGATTTCAAGCGCAACGCTATATCAATCAGCCACATCAATGAGTCTACAAAAAGAAAAAATAGAATAAACTTTTTAGAGAGAGACATTTCATAAGTGAAAAATTAGAGGATTTTTCAAAAAATTGGAAAGTGAAAAATATAAAATTAAAAACTTGTTTACTAAAATTATTTCTCCAATTTAGTTTTCCATCTCTAATCTTCGGTTTATGTATGATTTTGGAGAATCCAAAATTAGTGTTCTCTAAATGAAAATATGCGGATGAACAGTGGGTCAAATCCTGTTGGTGTGTGGTCTAATTTCTACCTTGTTTCTTCTCCCTTCTTCTTTCTTTCTTGTTTTTTTCCTTCTTCGCTCCTTCTTCCTTCCCCCTTCTTCTCCTTTTTTCCCCTTATTTTTTCTTCCTATTTTCCCCTTATCTTTTGTTTCTCCCCCGACGTCAAATTATTAAATAAATTTATACTTAAAAAAAAAGTTTTAACATCGATTTTTTAAATTAAATAACCAACGTCGTTAATACATATTGAATTTTCTGTTTTATCATCATCATCGTCATTACTATTATTTTGTTTTGTAATTAAACATGTACTAAAATATTTGAAACAGTTGTAATTTATTTACTAATATGTTTTTATTGACTTTCTGTTACATTTTTACACATTTATGTCTTTGTTATAGAAATGTACAAATATTATATGGAGGATTGTAAGCAATGAGGTTTTACGTATTTAGTATTGTAATCAAACTATATACTAAAAAGATTGAAATAGTTGTAATTTATTTAGTAATATGTTTTATTGACTTTTGTTATTTTTTTGTACATTTATAGTATTAGTGTATTGAATTTTTAAAATAAAATCAGAAAATTGGAAAAATGGAAAACTGGAGTAATGAAAATTGATAATTGAAAAGCTAGAGAAATGGACAATTGGAAAAGGAAAAACAGAAAAATGAAGTAATTTTTATTTTTTTTTTTTAACTTTTCTATGTGAACTCCAAACCATCTCATTTTAGAATGACAAAATTGAAAAAAAAAATCTTATTTAAAAAAAAAATCGTGCCAAACACAATTACCTTCCTTTATTTTTTTTGAATGCTACTAACTCTATTACCTTCCTTTATTTCTTTTAACTTTTTACTTGAATTTCAAACCACCTTTAATCTTGTTAGATATATAAGGCCATGTGTGTGCGAACTTAAGGAACACACAATAAGTAATACATGAATGCACAAAAACTACTTTCAGACACTGTTGTAAAAATCGGTCTAGGTGCCCGCCTAGGCGCTAGGCGCTCCTAGACCGTGGCGATTTCCCCTCTAGGCGACTGGCCGCCTAGGTGTCCGCCTAGCGCCTATCTCGGCCGACTTGGCCGCCTAGCGTCTAACTTAGCCGAGTTAACTCGTCCATTTCGGTCGAGTTAACTCGATCAGCTCGGCCTTGCTAATTTTTTTCATTATATATATATATATATATATATATATATATGTGTGTGTGTGTGTGTGTGTGTGTGTGTGTGTGTGTGTGTGTGTGTGTGTGTGTGTGTGTGTGTGTGTGTGTGTGTGTAATATATATACACACACATATACATACATATATATAATATGACAATGACATATATACACCCGTAGACTAGTTTGATACTTTGAATCTTTGGATGATTGAAGTATTTGAGTATTTTTAATTTTTAATATTGTTTTGATGTTATGACTTGTGAATTATCATTATTACATTTATTTGGGTGTGTTATTTGATTGAATGTTGAAAACAGTCTCATTAAAATTGTCAAACTGCAAGTCTGCCACTATTTTTTTGGTGCTCGTCTAGCGCCGCCTAGGCTGCTTATGCGCTAGGTGCTGCCCGAGCGCCCAACTAGGGCCTACTGCAACCATGCTTTCAAATATATCGGGAGGATGCGTGAATATATGCGATGCATCTGTGTAGTAATTTCAGTGCATTCATGTAGCAGGTGCAGTGCATTCATATAGTAATCGTGGAGCTGGAGTAGTTATTGTGTATTCAGGGAGTACTTACTTTGTATTCCTTAAGTTCGTAAGTTCACAAGGGAGGCTGATTTAATTTGCATTTGAACCGGACCCATATATAAATATATGTGTGTGTAATACAATTATCCTTTTCAAAAAGTAAATAATTTATGTGAGCATATATTCTAAATACATACAAACTATTTTGACTGGTCCATCCGAGTAACCACGTAGTCTCATCACTTAAGGGTTAAGAGAGGTCGGGAGTTCAAAATCTTTAAAGTTAGGGTCTATTTAAAACACATCCTAACTCCTATGGTTAGGGTGTATTCGAAACACCTCGTGGTCTAAACAAAAAAAAACTAAATACGTACAAATAACTTATGCTTAGTCTGCCATACTGACGTGAGGTTGAGATAAAAGATCAGAGTAGATTTTGAGAAGCTTTTTTATATACCACCATTTTACAACTTGCAGAACACAAATAAAATAATGAAACATTTCGGTGTGGAACTGAGCTGGAAGGCTTGTAAATAAAGTATCACGTGCCAAGTCATTTAATTAATTAAACCCCCAAACAACTACTACACAGCTCTATCTTCTTCTATATTATTAATAAGCTTTAAACAGGGTCAAACCTTAACAACTTTTGGATGCTATATAAAGCTGCACCGACAGCATGCATGAAACTCATACTCTTCACTGGCCAGTGAAAGCAAAGTACTCTTTTTTTTTTTTGGAAAGTGAAAGCAAAGTGCTAATCATTCCATTCCTCTTTCGAGTCCAAACACAATAAAGCTATGGCGACCAACATTGTTTCCTTTCACCTTCTGGTTTTTTGCTTGGTGGTTTTCCAATGCTATGGTGCAAACCAGGGAGCCACCACCTTCATTAAGACCTCATGCAGAGCCACGCGGTACCCGCCCTTATGCGCCCAGACCCTCTCTTCTTACGCCAACTCAATCCAACAAAACCCGCACCAGCTCGCCCAAACCGCTCTCTCCGTCAGCCTAGCCAGGGCGGGATCCGCCGCAAAGTTCATCCTCGGCCTCACAAAAACTGCCGGGCTGAAGCCCAGGGAGTCGCAGGCTCTCAAGGACTGCGCGGCTAACATGGCCGTCACCGTGGCTCAGCTCAAGCGCTCCATCAAGGAGCTGAGCCAGACGGACAATGTGCCCAAGCGTAGCTTTTCGTGGCGAGTCGGGAACGTGCAGACATGGGTGAGCACTGCTATAACTAATGGGAACAATTGCCTTGATGGGTTTTCTGGATCCGCCATGGGTGGGAGCGTGAAGGGTGCCGTTAGTCCCAAAGTGCTTATTGTGGTACAAGTCACCAGCAATGCTCTCGCTTTGGTTAACAACTTTGCTGCTAGGCATAAGGCTGGTGCATCCACCAATGTTCCTTGAATGAATGGGTGACCACAAGTTCGATCTTGGTTAGGTTTGGTCGGTCTGCACGAGTTAATTACGTCGTTGGTTTTTTTATTTTTGTGAGTGACGAGTTAAACTCGCACCCATTACTCAAGATATACTGGATAATCTTATTCTTGTGTAATAACCTGCTGTGACTACCAACGTTGTATGTTGTTTTATGTGTTGTATTGTAGATTGTGCATCAGTTTTTGTGCACAGTTGGGTATAGCTCACATCGGTCAAGGCTAGTTAAGAATTTCTTCATCCTACATAACACTTGTTCTTGATCATGGTGTTTAACAAATTAAATTGATAGATTGTAAGTGATATGCAAGCTAAGCAAAGTTTGTTCCTTTTTATATATGAGTTTATTCAACTTTTAATTTTGTAGATCCACTCTTTTTGGTTATTAATTTAATTATTTTAATTTTAACCTTCAATCTTAAAATAATATTAAAATATCTATCTAAAATGCATGTGTTTAAAGCAATAAAAAAAAAGTTTCATGAAATTTTCAAAAGGTGAGGACATGCATTTTAAATATTATTGATTGGATCATGGGAGCTATGTGACTGTTGAACTAGCAAATCTTTACCTAAAAAGAATAAGTGGTAAATGAGAAAAAGATTATTGGGCGTGAAAGGATGGTAGCTCAGTTCGAAATCTCTTACTTTTTATCCTTTCTTGTTTTTCATATTCATTCGCGGTTCAAAATTCATTATCTTTCTCATTCACTCTATTCTTTTACAAATGAATCTAAATAAAATGGTGTTTTCATATCACACGCCTTGTGATGGATATTTGATACACGTACAAATGACCATCTTTGAGTTTGAGTAAGGAAACACCATTTGAATGATTCAAAATCAATATAATTACTTATATTGAAACTTACAAACTCATCTTTTAGAAGATTGGCCCACAAGGAGGGAATGAAGGTTATTCGGAGTAGAAGGAGGGGGAAGTTAGGTCCACAAAGATGGGGTGAAAGGCTATTATTAGGCATGGAAGCAGGGGAAAGCTAGGTCCACAAAAAGGGGGTGGAGAGATATTGGGCTTGGAAAGAGGGGGGAGGTAGTGTTACAGTCGTTATATCATACATGCACCGTGGTAAAAAACGACGCCGTTTCTTTAAGTAAAGAAACGGCCCGCCGTTATAGTTAACGGAGTCCGCTTGTTTGGTGTATTAAACACCAACTGACACTACAGTATATCTAAACCGACACTATAGTTATATCAAAATGATACTGTAGTTATAGTGAAATAAAACTGCAGTGTATATAAAATGAAACTGAATAACATTTCACATATTTGAGTGTATATTGTACAATGAAGCTGTAATTATATCAAAATGATCATGTAGTTGTGTTTTAATGAAACTATAGTGTATATAAAATAAAATAAAATAACATTTTCACATATTTGAGTCTATAAATATCGAATGAAACTATAGTTATATCGAAATGAAACTGTAGTTGTGTTGAACTGAAACTGCAGTGTATACAAAATGACAATGAATAACAGGGTCACTTTTTGTGAAAGGGTGCGAAACGGCGGAAAACAAACACCGTTTTTTTTTCATTTAACAAAAGGACGCGCGGTGCATGATTGATCATGCACCGTGGTGCATGATATAATTTGCCGTAGTGTTAATGTGAAATATGAGTTAATTAAAAGTTTTTTTTTTCTCCTTCGTGTTGTTAAAGATTTTTGATACACAGAGTTTGTTCACTTTTTGAGTTGTAATCATAACTTTCGATCCTGTTCTTGAACTACCAGAATCAAGTTCTATCTAGAGAATACATTTCAAGTTGAACTAGTTTAACATCTAATTCGTGGTCAAGGTCAAAGTTTGAAGGAGAAGGTTCAAGTCATTACAACTTTTGCGGAAGCGAAGATATAAAGAAGACTGCAAAGTGTTCCAAGAAGAGGGATGAGAGGTCTTTCTCTAAGAGATGCGTTAAATGGAAGAAAATATACCTAGAGAAGTCCATTTGAACTTAATCTAACACTTGATCGCTCTATCTGGAGATGAATTGGTAGAAGCCTCAATTGATCAAGTTGAGATGCCATCAGTATTTTTTTTAATTTGTTCTGATCTGTCCGATTTTTACAGATGTAAGACTGATGAGATTGGTTCATTCTTAACTTTGTGTTGGAAGTGTGTTCTCTTGGGATCCTAAGCCAAGAAAGTGGTGATCAGATGCAACGCTGACTCCACATGCGGTCATGCAGATCAATTTGGATCATTAGATGAGCTAAGATCAACGACGGTTGAAAATCACTAAAAATGGAAAATAATGCATTTACATTTTGGTAATTTCCTACACCAAGTTTAATTTTGTAGTGCACTAAATGCCGGTACGGGTCTGTGGTGCACATAGATATGCTAGATAGTGCATTTAGACTCAAAATACCATAAAACATATCTAAATGCACTACTCATTAGTCATTACAAGAAAATACGAAATTATCACTGTATTTTTTTCCTTTTTTAATTTTCAATCGTTAATGTGAACTTATTTAATAATCAAATTAATCCGCATGGCCGTAATTAAAGCTCCTACCGCACTATAACCATCCCCTATATATATACACAGTGATACACACAAGCACACGCGTTTTTCTGTGTTTAATTTGTCGTTTCCGTGTTTTTGTTTGAGCTAAATAAGGTTTAATAATAGTTGAGGATTGACCAAGTAGCTTGTAGTTCACTGGTATCGGATTACTCCCCTAAGTGGGAAATGTAAGGTTTGAACCTCAATTGAGGCAATAGTGTGTATATGTAGGGTATCCCCTTCCTTATAATAATAAAAAAAAAAAAAATAGTTGAGGATTGTTTTCAAGAACCAAGAAACCGACCCAAATTAAAATATCTCTTTAATACTGTACGTTGACTATTTTGGAGTAATCGGATGCCTATATATAGGGCTATAGATCGATCTGGTTTCCACTGCTAGCTATACTTTGGTCAGCGCTTTGTTTAAAAACAAATACCACACACGTGTCATCCATCATTAAATAAATTTACTTGTCTTCTGGGAGGAGATCATATTAGTCAATCATTTATTTTACTCTGCCACTTGGATTGACTTGCTTCCGTTCTTGATCTACTTCTCTCTAGTTCTTGGTTATAGTCATGGTCATGGTAGGTAGGGGTAGCTTCATATTGCCACCAGTGAAGGCCGGATATGCCATATTTTATTATATAAAAGAAAAGAAAAAAAAAATAACAACTACAAATATATATTACAAACCATCTAGTTTTGCTTCAAATTGTCAAGCGAAGATAAGTGAAGGGTTAAGTATAGCATCATATTTCTCGAAAATGTAGTGACGGTATAAAATAAAATAAAATTACGTCTTCGATGTTTAAAAAAAAAAAGTTGCAATGACATTTTTGTAATTATTGTCAACGTCACTTTACATATCTGAACACTTAAATATGCAATATGTAACAATTAATTAAATATGCAAACTTGGATAAATTTTAAAAAATCAATCAAAAAGTTAAATTTTAAATCAAAATCGTAAATGCAAGATCCTAAACAGTAAAAAGTGAACCACTAAACCAAATAAAACAAAAAACTCTGTCATAAACTCTAAAATCAAAATCCTAAGTGCAATGCACTTTCGCATTTTTTTAAGTGCAATCTTTTAATACTAATTGTGCAAAATGTTAAAAACTAAATGTGCAATATGTTAATACTAAATGTGAAAATATGAAAAATTATGAGAAGTCCAGATTTTAGTATTTAAGTTTAAATAGTAAAGTTAGTGATAATTACGAAAATGTCACCACATTTTTTTAAAATATGATCTGATCCGTCTAATTTTTTTCGATGTAAGGATGAAATTGGTTCTTAATTTTTTCCTAAGAACTTGTTCATATATATATATATATATATATATATATATATATATATATATATATATATATATACATATATAGATAGATAGATAGATAGATAGATAGATAGATAGATACATACATACATACATACATACATAGAGGGAAGGGATCAGGTGCGGGTGGTGCTTCCCGTGCGGTTGTGCGGGTGGACTCACATTAAGCATTACACTAGCGCACTTTAAGTACACAACACACGCACATTAAACACACAAACAAAATACATTCAGAACACAAACTCACGCATCTTAAGCACAAAAGTCATGCATCTTAAGCACAACCCTCACGCACTTTAAGCACAAAACTCACGCACCTTAAGCACAAAAACACACGCACCTTAAGTTTTAACAACAACTCACATTAAGTACACACACACGCACATTAAGTACAAAACTCACGTACCTTAAGCACAAGACACACGCACCTTAAGCACAAAACTCATGCACATTAAGCACAAAACTCATGCACTTTAAAGTTTCAACAACAACTCACACAAAACTCACATTAAGTACACACTCACGCACATTAAGCACAAAATTCACGCACCTTAAGTACAAAACTCACGCACATTAAGCATTACACACTCACGCACATTAAGCACAAATCTCACGCACCTTAAGCACAAGACTCACGCACATTAAGTACAAAATTCACGCACATTAATCACCCGTACAACCGCACGAAAGACACTCACCCGCAATGGAACTTAATTATATATATATATATATATATATATATATATATATATATATATATATAGACTTCTCTAGGACTCTAGCACCATATCACCTGGGTAAGTCACTCAACGATATCTTAAGTAGATTTCTAGGACAACACTATATCAATCAGCCACATTAATGAGTTTACAAAAGAGATGGAGTAAACTTTCTAGCTAGGGACACTTAGGGACTGTGTGATTCGTGTAAACAAATTGAGAAGGATTTGAATTTAAATTTTGTGTAAAATAAATTACTTAGAATAATGATTTTAATGTTTAGTTAGTGGTAAATGTGGTACAAGTCACCAGCAATGCTCTCGCCTTGGTTATTAACAACTTTGCTGCTAGGCACAAGGCTGGTGCAGCCACCAACGTTCCTTGAATGAATGAGTGACCACA